AGATTGCTACCGATAACTCGTCCGTTGTGGCGAACATTTGTGAATTGTACGGTAAATACGAGAAATGTCTGAATGTGAGCGTGTTCAAGGATCAAAAACGTTGTGCATTCGCCAGTCCACTCAACACACTGGCTAGGTGAGTGGACGAGTTATTCGATGGGTAGTCTATCAATCATTCAGACAAAACCCGTCTAGCAACGAGTTTCTTGGGAGTTTCGTTGTTTTCCTTTTTCTGATGTCCTCAGCTACGGAAGGGTTCCATAAAAAACGCACGGATATGGGAGGAAGACCAGTTTCCAAGGCTATGGGATGTTTTTGTTGAGAAATGGACTCTTAGAGATACGAGGGGTGGGGGTAACCTTAATTTCCTGATGTTTGTCATTAGCGCAAGTCGTAGATGATATTAGATCAACAAGAATGGTTGTTAGCCTAAATTCGTTCAAGGATACCCCGGTGAAAACAGTTACCGTCGAAAAAAGTCAGTCAAGAAGAGTTCTGTACGAACGAAAGACACGATCGGCTTCTTGATTTCTTTCCGTTAGTAGAAGCACCAAGTAAAAGGTTGCTTGAGCAAACTAAGCAGCAATAGCTTTCCTGGACTTATTCCTCGAGGGATCTTTAGGAGGAATCGGCACCGTCGGCTACGTAACCTTTTCAGTCGCCGTACTAACGCATTGTTTCAAGAAATTTCCCATTTCAGAATCGGTTTGGCCCCGATTCTGCTCGATTGACTCACGACCACTTCTGGCTAATCACAAGGATTGCCTGATGAAGTTGGCCACACAGGCCAGCGGCAGTACTACCAACTGCCAGAGTGGTCTATCCGGTTTAGGAAATACCGTCGGAATGATGATGCAGGTAATCACATTATTCCACTTATTGAACGCTATTTACCCTTTACTGCCCCAGTTGCCAAGGTTTGGGCACATTCTTCTCAGAAACTCCACCTGGGGATGGTTTTATCAGAGGCAGTTCGCTGGGCAGTTTGACCCAGGAAAATCTCATGTGTGTAGAGCCGAAGCGTGCGTATAAGCACCTGCGAACGGCTAGTTCCATGGGATTCCTTGTCTGACTAATGTCGATGTTCATAATTTAGAATGTTCATATTTAGAAAGTCAAACTGTCTCCGGGGACGAAGTTAGGGATAACAATAGTTGAGGGTGGCGCGGAAGAGCGCATACTACGTCATGTCTGCTTATCTGGGCCCTCTCTCCAAAAAGGAAAGTGGCATATGATTCCGCTCCAAGACTTTGAAAAGACATGGTAAAACAAGGCAACACAAAAAAGACATGGCGTGCCATGGTCGCTCTGACCGCGTGGTACCGCACCCCTCTCCCCAACTATTCTTGACTCCTCGACATGTTTGGCTCGCGTAGCCTTAGGCAGCGTTCAGACTTCGCGATGATGCGCGTCGACGCGCTCTAACGCGCTACAATGGCAAAAGTGCTCCAACATATAGACGATGCACCCGCAGACGCGAAGTCTGAACGCCTCCTCAGGTCTTGTCTTCATCTATCCTTATCATAATTTTGCCGAATTTTTGATCACTTCCTCAACAATTACGGCAACGAATTCTTACGGTGTTTTCGAAAGAGGGAGGGGGTGCTGACGAAGCTTGGCTTGATGTGGGCATTTCGCTGATTTCCTCGATTCATTGTAAATATCTTCTGTGAAGACCTATTTAAACATGTAAAATTATGCCACATGATATCGGCTTCGTTTGCACTTGAAACGGGTCCGCAGGCCTCACCAAGGAGAGACGTGTGAGTATCAGGAACTAGTAAAACAAACTGGTGGCTTCGGAAATTGCCCCTCTCCTCTATGCCAAAGCTCCGAAGCACTCAACCTAAGTTTTTTTTCATCAGTATTAAGTCTTCCTCTCAGGGAATCCATGGTGAAGCACTTCTATGCAAATCATTCTACATGATCCGAGACACTTTCTCATGTGGTGAAAAAGCTGTCGAGCAGCAATGCGATGCCCAAGCTTTGCGAGATCTTGGAATACTCAAAAGACAGGTAAGCTTCTTGATAGGATAGTTTACACTAGTCATATGGGCGGGATCTGGCCTACCAGGACCTCCTTGATTGGCGCGTCGCCCTCTCTAATATCTTAGAGAAAACAGCGTATCAATCATGAGCGTTTAATGAATAAATTGAAACCTCACAAGTCTGTTTACAATTTTTCAGATGAGCGAGTTGGGTGAAGAAGAGGGTTGCCCTCGAGTGCCACCGGCCAACTTGGACGCTATCATCGCCAGACCAGTGAAACGACCAACACCAATGCCCCGCCCAAGGTGGTTGCTTTTTCGATATTCAACAAAGTAAAATTCTTCGTCCAAAATAAAGAGAGAAAACGACGATTAGAGGATAGATTTCGGTGCTGATAACCTCGGGGAGGGGAGCATTTATAGGACTCATCGGGCCAAGCTATCATAGAAATACCGTAATGGATCGACGGCTTTTGTCTAAAGAGCAAGGGAGCTCAGGGCTGGGCGAATCTGTTCAGATTGCTGTATTTCTAGCCGGACAACGCCAATTCCAGTTTTTGCTCAGGGGATCCATTGAAGGCAGTGGGTCTTATGGCTGGGGGCGGCGGCTACTGCCAACTGTCATTAGTGGAAGGGCTGTGAGAGGGCGTTTGGCCACGCCCCTTAGCCCTTCCACCAATGACGTTGGACGTGATCACCCACCCCAGCCATCGTGCCCATAGCCTTTAAATGCCCCTCAAAGGTTATCAGCTCCGAGATCTGTCCTTTCGCCGATAAGAAACATGCTAACACAGCGAAGTAATGCTTTGTGAAATGAACCTGAGCCGATAAAGTATTTACCATAGCTTCCTTTCTGATCAGTAAGTATGACAAGAGTGTAAGAAGTAAAGTCTATTATAATCTGCGTCTATGACCGCACTCGACGATGCTCACTCTTGCAGTGCCACAGGTGTCCGTAATGGATGATGATTATTCATAATAACATACTTTAAACCTAAATTGATTTCAGCCGTCCCATTGTGCCTCCCATGGCTCGTGCCCTAAACACTGCTACTCCACTGGAAACGACCCGTGGTCCTACTACTCAAATCGTCAACGAAACCGCCGAGTCGTCACCATCAATGGCAGCTCCAATGGTCCCGCCACCGTCGCCTCCTCAAACTCAAACTACCTGTACACCTCCCCAGCAGAAGAAGTTAGTAGCAATTAACACTGATTTCGGTTTTTTTCTGACAAGAAACCGATCAATTCAATCAATAATCGATTTTCATATTGTGGACGCATCTTTTTCTAAGGTTAAACTATTCTAACCCGTGAAAAAATCACAGCGATTCGATAATGACTTTCTCAATCCTTCTGAAGCCAGCAGTCATCTCTTGGAATTGATCTGAGAAATATAATCGATTTATCGATTGTAGGTTCGAGGTGTGTGTACGACCGCTTACCACATTCCAACCACATCCGTTGTCCGTCATCAAAGCGCCGCGACAAATCGATGAGGCTTGTGAGGAATTCAAGAAATTCCAGGTAATCGATATATTGATCGAATGCTGAATTTAATACATTGATCGAAAAATCAGTAAATGGAGAAATTCACTACGTTCTTGTTGACAGGTGTCGTGTACATCTTTTCCCTGAGCAAAACTCAAAACTATGAATCCTTTTACTGCAGAGATCTAGTCGATCTGATCAATAGGTTCGACACTTGTCCTATTTTAGCAATTCCTTATCATAGATCTCAACCAGCACTGATATCTTAAAGTCATTTTCCACGATAAGCGGATAGACGAGGAAATGGGCGGGGATTCGCAGCCATCTTGTCTTTCTTATTGGTTCGCCCTCTGTGATACGATAAAGGGAGGGGCGCGTCATTGAGGAAGTCAAAATGTTTATATGTCTCCACCCACTTCCCTGTCTGTGCGATTATCGCGGAATAGGGGGAGGGGCAGTCAGTGAACCATCACCAGATATGGTAAATCAACTACTCCTCAAGCTCCACTTTCAATGCAGTAAAGAGAGCTGTCGATAGAGAAAATATGTTGCAAAAGTTCCAGTTGTTCTTCCTTATTGTTCTATTTTCATTATCGATTTTCAGACTTGCGTCGCCGACGTCGCTTGCCATCCACTATGGGCTAAAGGAATGACAGCCATGTTCTCCTATGCTTGCGGAGA